AATTCATCCAAATTTTCAAGGTGCTGGAGCCCAAGTTTAAGTTGCCATGCCGAGGACATTTTTCAGAGAAGGTAATCCAGGAAATTTACAATGAAATGAAACAAAGTGTGAAAGAGTGTCTAAAAAATGCTGACTGCGCCGCTCTGACCACCGACGGCTGGACCTCGCGTGCAACACGGTTATATCACCATCACAGCACAAGTCATCAATGAAAAATGGGAGAGTAAAAGCTTTGTGTTGCAAACTCGTGAGCTAAGTGAAAGTCATACTGGTGTTAACATAGCTCACGTGTTGAGAAATTCACTGAGTGAGTGGGAGCTAACAAGGCCACACACAACCATTGCTTGTGTCACAGACAACGTGAGCAACATGGACATTGCTGTGAGAGAGAGCGGTCTCCACCCTCACATCAAGTGCTTGCCGCATGTTGTGAATCTGGCGAGTAAGAGAGGCTTGGCTGTATCCCGCATCGTGCGCCTTCTTGGTCGTGTGCGAAGAATAACTACATTTTTTCACAAGAGCACCACGGCCACCGCAGTCCTGACCAACAAGCAAACCCAGTTGGAACTGCCTCGGCATAAACTCATCACCGATGTCCAGACCAGGTGGAACAGCACGTACGAAATGCTGGCGCGCTACCTGGAGCAGCAAGCAGCTGTCTCAGCAGCGTTGAGCTGCCCAGAAATCCAAAGGAATGCGAAAGAAATCGACGCTCTGGATCACACTGATATATCAGATGTAGAAGACATAGTGAAACTGCTTAAGCCACTGAAGACAGCCACAACTGTTGTCTGTGATGAAAAAGAGCCCACTGTTTCACTGATAATGCCACTGAAGTACATGATCGAGCAAAGCATGTCACCAAACGAAAATGACACACAGACCATCGCCAACATGAAAAGCGCCATCTTACTCGACATCTCGGACCGATGCACCGGGGACTGTAATGACATGCTGCAGGAGTGCACAGCACTTGACCCACGATTCAGAAGCCTGTCCCATCTGAATGATGAACAACGTGAGTCCATCTATGCCCGAATACGTGAAAAAGCTTCAGCACTTCATGAGCAGCGCAACCAGGGAGGCTAACTTTTATTGAAAAAAATAAATAAAAAAATTGAGGTTTCCTGCTGCATGTGTGTAACTGTGTATGTGCAGGCCAGAGTCTGAAAACTTATGTTTTTTTATTAGTCGATCAGAGAGAGAGAGTGAATGAGAGTGAAGGACAGAAATGTTTAACTAGTTTTTCTATTTTATTTATTTTCTGACCAGTTACACTGATGAAAGAACCACTAGGTTCAGCGCTTCAACATCAGGGGCAGCAGCAGAGCAGGCCAGGGTCATGGTTGAGGCAGCACAGGGAGCAGAGCAGAGCCAGGAAGAGCCAGTAGAAGGAGAAAGGCAGATGCAGGATGTGGCACAGCCTCCCCCACCAAAGAAGACAGCGTTGGAAGATCTTGGGAGCTCCTACACTACTGTTGAGACAGTGCAGACCAGCAGAGGGATTGAAATGGAGATGCAGTCCTACAGGAGTGGGATTCCCATCCCACTCAACAGAAGTCCACTTGAGTGGTGGAAAGTTAATGCTTATGCTTACCCCATACTTGCCCCCCTTGCCAAAGCCTACCTTTGCATTCCTGCTACATCAGTGCCCAGTGAGCGTGTCTTTTCCATGGCAGGAGACATTGTGTCTGCTCAAAGATCACCGATTACACCAGAACATGTTGATATGTTAGTTGTTTTTGAAGAACCAGTCCTGAGATAAGTTAACCAAGGGTTAAAGCAGCACTAAGGGTGTTCTTGCTTGTGTTTGGCCAGTTAGGCCTTGTGTTTCCCTGTGTGCAACTGGAAAAAAAAACAAGTTGTTATTATACAGTAATATTTTCCTTTTTTTTTCTTCGTGATATCGTTTCGTGTCTCAGACATATCGAGGTGCATCGTATCGTGAGTTCAAGTAGATCGTCCCACTCCTATTAAACACCGAGTTTCCCAGAGATGCAGGAGAGATTGTTTTCTGACCCGATCTGTTTTCTTTCTGCGGCTAATTTAGGCGATGGGACTAAAAGAAAACTTTCACTTTCGGCATGCATATGCAACTCAGAAGAACTGCTATTACAGTTTCTCAGTCAGAATTTTTCTGGTAAACATGTCTAAAAATACTTCTGTCATTAAATTATGAATGTTTATGTATTTTATCTTTAAATGCCGCCGGAGTGGAGAATATGGTCACACTGGCTCTCCTGCTTGGGGTCCAGGAGTTTTTGCTGTATGAGGTAGTTTGACAGTCAAGAGATTATCTGAAGAAATGCTGCTGTTGGCATCTCTAAATCAGGTCTAGACTCACTAATTGTTGTGTGTGTTTACTTGCTGTGGAGACGCCACACCTCATTTATTGATGAAACATAAACTGATGATGGAATCTTTTCGCAAGTGAAACCGTTGACTTGCACCGTTGACTTGCACAGCAAGTCTCTGCAGGTTGGTGTCAGGCAGAACCTAGCCTACCTGCTTCTTTTGTTTTCCTGCCTGTTTTCACCCCCTGCAGCAAAATCAGAAAATTACATCTTGTTTTGTTGTATTTGCTGCTGTCTGTGGTTTTAGACGAGCTATCTCACGCAGCTGCGTGTTCTCGTGCATGTGATTGACATCTGTGGTTGGGATGAGCTTTATCGCCTGCAGTGTGTTCTCACCACCTCGTGCTAGATGCTGCTGCTGCTTTTACGCCACATTCAACTGGAAACACCGGCGGTTTGAGTGCTGACTGCACACATTTCCGTCCCAAACAGATGCAGCATTGAATCTGATATCAATTCTGTTCTCTGCGTGGGTACAGTACAGCTTTACCATAACCGAGAGCAAACGTGTGTGGTCACAGATAGAGCCAGTGGTGCGGCGCCTGCACTTACATGCACAGCTCTGCAGCTGAATGTAGGTCACATAAGACTAGAAACGATAGGGGAAGAAAAGAAGGTGAGCTGTAGAAGGAAAGCGAGGAGGAAGCCCTTCATTATGTCATTATGTTGGAGCAGTTACAGGATTAGAACAGGATATATATGGAGGTTTAAACTCCGTGATTTTGAGCTGTTGCTTTGGAAATAAAAGGTAATAGCCCTTCCATTCAGATGTCCTACAGACAAATTGGCAGATATGACAAAAGGAGAGTCGGAGTTCTGGTTTTCTTTCACATAAAGAAACAGCTTCAGCTTTGACATTCTCCTGTCTGTCTTCACTTGCTCATTTATCTGGACTTCAGCTGCTTTCGGCCTAATGGCTATTCTGAACAGTAGTACTCTGGGGTTTGGAGACGTAATGAAGTGCAGTGGACCCTTTGGAGAGCTCAGATGCTGCCAGCATAATTACACAGGGCGAAGTCTCCTCTCCCACATGGTAATAGCCTCATTGGCTCTGGAGGCTAAAACGAGGTGGACATGTAGTCAGAGCTTCATAAAGTGAGCAAAGAACGCCTCACTTCATTTAGCTCTTTGGATTTCTACGTTAGACTCGACTTTCTAACTTTGGTTTTTAACACCAACAAACCTCTGTTTTCATTTTGTCCCCATGTTTTCTTTATCTTATGTGCAGCTGAAAAAATACTACTTTTTTGGTGACAAAGCACAAAGAGATATAATTTTTTTCTACTTTAATGTGTTTTATAAATGCCGTTTCACTTGAGATACAATATTTTAATCAGCTGCTTCATTATCTGATAGAAGCCTTGCAGAGTCAGAGATCTGGGCCTCACTGACTCCTGGCCTGATATCTGTTTCTTCCTGTCTCTCACTTACTCAGCAGCTCTCACAGTAAAACGTAGCTCCGTGAAGCTTCTTCACTACTCGACACCAAAGGGATTAATTTGAGATTTCCTCAGTGCTACGACCAACAGGAAGCCTCCTGTTAACAGTAATTTATTCAGACTTTGGTTCAAAATACTCGAAGAAGACTCTTCTGAGTGAAGTGTAACTCGAAGATACAAGCTTGGTACACTTTAATGAACAGGAAAAGCAGCCTACAGCAAAGCTCCAACCTCTGGGGTCACTTGGATATAATATCTGTATTCTTTTTCAAGGAAACAAATAGTCATGCAGCCTGAAATTGCACTGTGATGGTCTGGAGGTGGTTCAGATTTGAGCAGAATAGAGCGAAGCTTTTTAGAAGTGATGGGAATTTAAGCTGGTTTTATCCTACAAGAGAATAGTGATCATAATGCCTCCTAAATGTGGTGGTAATGGAGCATTTTTTAACATCTGCGGGGCTGGAAATGCAGCAAAATGTGTTTTTATTTATTTAGAATTAAATCAACATTAGATTTCTTAATTTCACACTTAGATGGTGTCTGTGTGTCCCAATCAATTGCTGGATCTTCAGTGCGATCATTTATTCAGACTGATTTCTAGAGTGTCTGCAGAAACTTTTTTACACATTTCTAGGGCAGCAGCAGCTCAGGAGGTAGAGAGGGTGTCCAAAAAGCAGAAGGTTACAGTTTCGATCTTGACTCTGACCAGAGAATGCTGCTTTTGTGTCCTTGAGCAAGACACTTAATGCCTGACCTCGCCTCTTTCAGCGCCCCTGGACAGCTGTGGCTACATCGTAGCTCATCTCCACCAGTGTGTCAACGTGTGACCGACTGGTTGTGTTGTCAAGCGCTTTGGGGGGTTGTGGAATGCTATACAAATGCAGGCCATTTACAATTACCATTTACTAGTGTGTGTGTGTGTGTGTGTGTGTGTGTGTGTGTGTGTGTGTACAGTAGTTACTTTGGCACATTGGGTGCTAGTAAAACAAACCTTTTCTGTCATTGTACCATTTAGTGGTTGTGGTGTTTCCATAAAAGGAAGTTTCACCTGATTCAACAGTTCATTCATTTCTATGAAAGTTTAACCTCAAACTTTTCTCCGCTGCCTGTATGAACACACACACACACACACACACACACACACACACACACACACACACACACACACACACACACACACACACACACACACACACACACACACACACACACACACACACACACACACACACACACACACACACACACACGTCAGAGATATCAGGACAGTCTATAGTGGTGTTAGGCAAACATTTGTAAAGTGTCGGCAGAGGTGACTACTACTGCAGTGGTGCATTTTGTGCTTTTCTAGCACAATCTGCTGATCCTGGAACAGTTTCTTCTAATGTTGATGCATTTAGTTTCAGTTGGTGAGTTGGTGTGTTGAGGGTTATCTAAAAAAGAAAAGGTAAGCTACATGTTTTTTTTATTTCAAAGTCTATATTCAAAGTGCAGTGTTTGAAAAGTGTGTAAATTAAAAGACTGATAGATTTTAGTTTTAGTTTAACAAATGGGACTAAACATGATAAAGCTGCAAGTTAAGATCTTTAGGTTTTCCTACACAGTGCTGGGGGGCTACAGTCGTAACTAAACATGAGGTGGGAATGCAAATAATATCCCAAATTCTTACAAAATTCAATTATTGAATATGCAGGAATGATCCGCATCAGTCAGGATTTGGCCCGGAAGTATCAAGAGCGAATCGGGGTGAATTTTGGAGGTCTGGGAAAAGAAGGACCAACACTGCAAATATTGATTCTTTGAATAAATTTAATATAATAATCAATAAAAGCCATTAAAGCCTATGATTCATTGCAAACAGACATTTAAATGAACATCCAGGGTAGTCTAGACGACTGCACTAAGCAGCATCTGTTCATGAGAAGAGACTTCACCAGAACGAGGCCTTCAACCATCCCTGTGACAGCCGACTTTTCACTCCACCTTTCAGAGGCCACTGGAAGCAGCTATGATTATGATTTCTGATGTATTCCGACAGCATGTGATTGAAGCAATTTCTGGGAAACCATAACCCTTCCATTACAGTGAAGGACTTGTCGCTAACCGTATCTATAATCTGGGTGGCAGTCGTGTTTAGCCATGGGGTAAACTAGAATGGTAGGCCTTTAATTCCACCTTTCACTGTGATACTTAGAAAATCAGAGGCATTAGCTCAGGAGATAGAGCAGGTTGTCCAGTAATTGGAAGGTTGCAGGTTTTGATCCTGGCTCCGGACAGAGAATTCTGCTGTTGTGTCCTTGGGCAAGACACTTAATCCAGATATGATGGTGGTAGTCATAGGGACTGATGGTGTCTGTCCTCGGTAGCCTTGCCCCTGTCTGTCTGTGTGTGTGTGTGTGTGTGTGTGGGTGTGTGACTGAGAAGTGTAAAGCACTTTGGAGTCTCCAACTGCTATACAAAGTCATGGGCTCAGCCATTTAAATCCGACTCCATGTGGTGATCACATGTAGAATTAGAAATTCAAACCAGGTTTTTTTGCATGCAGATGCACACAAAGTAGTGTTTGCATTTTTTTTTCAAGTTTATTTAAATTTTTTGACAATTAAAAACAAAACACAAAACAGGTTTGCGAAAACAAAAATGAAAAAAGAAAAGAAAGAAGCAAAACTGTTATCTGTTCCCCTTAACCAAAATAATTACAAATGACAACAAAGTTATTATAGTTAAAAAAAACTGTTTGACCTGGTTTACAGTTTAGCTTTGGCAAACATGGAGAAAACAAATATGTACACAATTTTTTTTCTTATATTAATGAAAGGAGAAAACAAATAATGCAAAATAAAACACACACAAAAAAACCAAACTAAAAAGCAATGCCGGTCTGGTGATGTCGGCTGGTATTCGCCTGTCCTCACCTTCAGGATTTACTCTGTGAGTTTCTGCTCCAGCTGCTCACTGCTGCGTCGTCACACCCTCCATTTTGGTGTGAACTTGATCTGTCAGTGAACTTCACATTGTAAGGGAGAATTCCCGCTTCCTGAGTCCAGAATTACTTGAATGAACACATTTGAAGTCTAATCACTTGCTAAATCCTCTTTCTGGACATTAGCAAAGAACATTTGTATGGATTTTGTAATTTAAGAAATATTTACACGAAGATATTTTCTACGATCATCCACTTGAAAGTGAATATAAACAGCACCAAAAATTATTCTTTAAAAAACAACAACCAAAGTGGAAATTTGTGAATTCTCGTTTGTCACATTTGCCTCTGGACGTAAACAACCGGGTTCTAGGTTCCACGACGCTTGTATTTTCAAGACAACAGGCGAAGGATGACAGTATTCCCAATGGTTGTTGCCCGTCACCCAGGTGTGGCACTTCCAAGGAATGTTTTTCAGCAAAGACACTGATAATTTGGGGAACTACTGTCGCCTACAGGCTTGGATTGATCATGCTTTACAATGCATAGTACTTTTTTTTTTTGTTGAAAACAAGCTGGTGTGGACGCAGGTTTTTCATCCTAGATGGGTGGAAGAGAATTTTCGGCATCACATCTCAGTAGCTCAGGAGAAAGAGCAGGTTGCCATATAATCGGAGGGCTGTGTGCTCGAATCCGGCTCCCGCCAGGGGTAGTCTGCTATTGACACTTCACCCGACTTGCCTGTGTCGATGGCAAGAAATGGCAGCTTCACCTCTCAGACCGTCCGATGACAGCTGTGGCTACATGGCAGCATACCCTCACCGGTTGTGTGTCAATGTGAGAGTGCGTGAATAATGGAAAGTAAATGCCGACCAATATATTAAAGTTTTGTCTATCGCCATCGGCCGATATTATTTCTAACAGCCGATAAAAAAATTAATAAATAAATTTAATAAATCAATAAATAAAAATCAATACAATAAATCAATCAATCAATAAATAAAATTTCAGGCACCTGCGTGGCCAACTGCTGCCACTACTAGACTGAGGAAAAGACCCCAACACACCGTTTTTTAAATGTTTTGAGTTTGTTTCATATTTGAAATTCAAAAAATATTAAGAGATTTATTGACTTATTTCATTTATATTGTACACAGTGAGTGTTCATTTGTCTTTCACAATCAATGTGCTGCTAAAGTGTGTGTGTGCGTGTGTGTGTGTGTGTGTGTGTGTGTGTGTGTGTGTGTGTGTGTGTGTGTGTGTGTGTGTGTGTGTGTGTGTGTGTGTGTGTGTGTGTGTGTGTGTGTGTGTGTGTGTGTGTGTGTGTGTGTGTGTGTGTGTGTGTGTGTGTATAAAATCAGGCATAATAATCTGCTTTAGATATCAGCCATCGGCAACAAAATTCTTAAAAAATTGGCATCGGCCTTTTAAAAAACCCATATCGGTTGGCCTCTAATGGAAAGCACTTTGGGTGCCGTGAAAAGCGCTATACAAATCCTATTCATAATAATAATTATTATTATTATTATTTTTATTATTACAATATGTGTAGTATTGCTTTACGTAAAACAAGTAAATTCAGTTCTATTTTTATTGAACAGGCTGGAACATGAATGTTTTACAGAATTGTTTTATTGCTGGACAGATTTTTGCCTGCTCAGATACCATGCAGATGTGGCAAAAATGTTAACTCGTGCTACAGGAAGCATTTTTGCACATTTGGTTGCGCACAAGTACGTCCCTCTTGCCTGCAGTATTGCGGTGTCTAAAAGGAAGAGGTTTTAGAAGCTGTCAGATGCTCTGATGAGCACTTAACTTTAAAGACAAGGTTGTGTGTTTTTGACTCTGAGGTTTGGCTGCCTGCATTTATCAGAAATTGAATTAATTCTGCTCCCAGATGTGACCTTTTACAGTTTAGTGAACAGACTCATTATTTCTGGCATCAAATAGGTAGAAAATTAGATTGTTTTTTTCCATAAAGTCAGTTAAAGGTTGATGCAAATGTTTGGGCGTTACTCAGGTGGAGGCTGTGCAGGTTTTTGACTGAAACCAACCAGACGTTCAACCGAAATCTCTCTCCAACCACAGACGCTTATAAATAACATCAGTTCCCGGTTGTGAAAGTGCTTACGCCCACTGCAGCCGTTATCTCCACCATGTAGCACCTCACTGGAAAATCGCTTTCCCTCACAATGCGACGGCCCATGCATTAGCTTCTATACCTGGTTGTTTTCATGTGGTCCTGGGAGACTCGGGCTGGAGTTTCACTTTCATATTTCAGCAATTAAAAATTTAAATCTCTCAATCAATAATAGTTGCAGAAATTACCCAGGAGGTGTTGGGAAAATTCCATACTTATTTTTTCTTAGATTTTTCAACATTTCCCTCTGTATTCCTCAAATCTATTTGTTTTTATTTACCCAAGTTTTTAATGTGGTTTACTAGTTTATTTAGTACACTTTCAATGTTCTCTAGTGTAAATCAATGCCTTATAGTCACAAATAAAAGCTATGAAGCTCCTGATCTGAGTTGCAGAAGTTTGTTGGTGCAGAGGTGTGCTGAAAACAGCAGGATTGGTCATCATCATTAATGATATGCACACACCTCACTTAGGGCTGTCGCGGTAACCGCAAAAATGAAATATCGCGATATGAAGAAGCCCACCGCGCTGCATCATGCGCCACCGCGATTACTGAACTTGGTTCAACTCAATGATGCATGTTGAGAAGGATGGCTGCACTGGTATCAAAACGAAACGTTACTTCGCTCCTTTGGGAGCACTTTGGTTTTCAGTACGTCAGCTGCTGCGCAGCCAGAGTCCTTGGCCGAGACAGAGCTGCCACCAACGGCAAAAATAAATAAATAAATGCTCGGAGACCTGCTGAAGTTCCCGGACAAGCACTGCTTCTGCAGCCGTCCCGAAGAGAGTTTGAGCCGAGCTGGAGCTCACTCGCTACCTGCAGGAGGAATGCATCCACCCTAAAGAAAACCCCCGTGACACGGTGGAGCAACAACCGGGAGAGATTCCCTTTGCTCGCCAGAGTCACACGCAGGTACGTGTGCGTAGTGCAACGAGCGCTCCATCTGAGAGGGTTTTCAGTGTTGCTGCAAATGTTGCCACCCCTCTCAGATCCTCTCTCAAACCGTAGTTAACATGCTGGTTTTCCTTGTAGGTAACAAGGACGTGACCGAGCTATAAATCACCGTCATTTGTGTGTGTGAAAGTGAAAGTGAAATGATAGTGCGCCCGCCCCCCGGCGCGCGCGCGCCCGGTACATGTAATTTTTTATGCTTGATTTTAAACAACTAAACAAAATGGGGACTTGTTTCTTATTTGTTAGATGCTGCAGCCAAATCTGCATTTAAAAGTTTAACCTTCTCCTGAATTTTGTTGTTTTTAAGTTCAGTCGGACTCCGACTGTCGGAGAAACAAGCGTTACTGCGATTTGTGTTGTTACTGCCCTTTGATCTGCATTCAGTAAAGTGTTATTAAAGAAGGCACGGCAATTTTAACCTTTTTAAAT